GCCTGTTCCAATGCCTGATCACCCTCTCTCTGAAAAAAAAATTCCTAATGTCCAATCTTAATCTCCCCTGGTGCAGCTTGAGGCCATTACCTCTTGTTTTATCACTTGTTACTTGGGAGAAGAGACCGACCCCCACCTCACTAGTGCAGTCTAACCTCCTCCTCAGAGCAAGTTCAGTTAGAGCAGGCTGCTCAGGGCCTCATCCAGTCAGGGACTAGACCAGGGATGGAGACTTCACAGACACTGTGAGCAACTATAATGGTTTGGGTTTTTTTTAACTAATTTTTTTTTGTTTGTTTGTTGTTTTTTTTTTTATCTAGTAAAAATTTCCAGTGTTTCAACTTGCACCTGTTGCATCTTGCCCTCATGCTACACACCTCCAAGAGTCACAGTGCATTGTAAGAGACAAAACAAGTTCCAGTCAGGATACCTCTGATTTTTACAGGGTGATTGCTTTTACTACAGCCTTGAATTCAGATACAATGTTTGAATGATATCTTGTTGTGTAATTACAGTTCTGATATCAACCTCTAGCATTATTTGAAATTAAGCTCTTGAGAATCACATCTTACATGATGGCTTGACTTTAAGGAATAAGGATTGTTTTGAATATTAATGAAGTCTGGCTCTTTGGATTTGCATTCTATGTTCACTTACTTCCTTGAAAGTAGAGCTGACAGGCAGGTTGAACAGAAAAATGGATAGGCAAACAGCACTATTGCGGGTAGTTCAGTTTTGGAAAATTTAACTAGAAATACTGATTTTCCATTCAAAAATATATGTTTTTAAGCCTATCCCATAATAAAAGAAACTCATTTAGATTAAAAAAACGATTTTCCTCTTTTTAAGTGTAAAATAGATTTATCAGTTTCTAAGGTCATGTCTATACTAGAAAATTATCCAGTGAATGTTATGAGTGCCTCAATGTCTGTACTACTAAACTGTTGGAATAGTCTCCTGCAAGATTTTATCCTGAGACAATTACTGATCTCCTAGAGAGCAGCTTGGCATGATTTGGGAGCTAGCAGAGACCATGGTTCATGCTCAGTAGGCAGTTTTGGAAAAGAAAGAAGGTTCGAATGTATATACACAGTCCATTCCATATTACTTGTCTTATTAGGAAAGAATGGTCATTTGCCTATTAAATTTTACTTTTACAGACTTTGACATTTTTTACCAGATGGGACTAAACCAACTCAATTTATACAATTTATTATGTATAATATAATATACAATTTCTTTCTGGTGGATCTATTTTTAAGAGTCTCACAATTACCAGTACAGAAGGAATGACTGAGTTTCTGATCTTGACACTACTTTTAGTTTATCTTTATTCCTTTTTAACCACACGTTATTACATGATAGTGGTGTTCAATTTACTTTTCTCACTTTGCCATAGTTAAATGTAGATTTTGCTTCTTAGAGATCTTAAATCCTTCTTCTCTGCAGCTAGTAGTTACTAATTTGTCACCTTTGCTAGAATGGGAATGAAAGAGAGATAGAATTTCACCCGTGGAGGGTGGTGAACAATTGTGAATCCAACACCAGGAGCTAGCTTCCTAACACTCATTTGGCACCACAATGGACTCTGCCGTCATTCTTGCATTGAGCCAATGTGTTGAGCATCTGAATGTCTAGTCCTTGGATATTTAAGGACCCGGGATTCATACTATCAATCAGTAGCATTTAGGGACATCACTCTTCTTTCTGGATCTCTATTCCAGAAATTTCAATAGGTTAAAGCTATAATTCCTTTTAAATATTTTTCTCCTGCTGTGTATCAGATAATCTAGTCCCCTAAGTTAGGTATCCAGACTCCCAGAACATAGGTGCTTCAAGCCAGGTTCTAGAATATTTAACTAGCTGACTGAGGAAGCACCTAAAGTCAAAAGCAAAACAGTGAACTGGCCAGAGCAAGTGAATAGGTAGTACCCATTTCCTGAAAGTCAAAAGGATGCCTCTAAACTATTTTTGATGATACGAGCAGAGGTTACTTGAGTGTTTCAAACCACTCTGGAGTAAAAATAAAAGATAGCAATTTGTGCTTTTAAAACATGCTTAGAACTGCAGCAATATGCAGCAAATTATCTCAGATCCTAGGGAAAATATTACTTCTCCAGTGTTTCAGTTGGCATTGCTGAAGACAGCATCTGTTACTGTATTTTTAGAGACAGGTCTTGCTGGTCTTGTGCTAAGAGAACCAGCTGGGTTATGTCCCTCAGGACATTCAAGTGTACGTTTGTGACACAGGTGTGTGACAGAGTGCAGTGAACAGAGGCAACCAGGAGATGCACCAGTCTGTGGCACTTTCTGCAGTGCGCAGAAGGGTGCACAGAAGAAGGGCGGAAACTCTGTTGAGGATGGTGTACACATGCTCAGCAGTGGTAGTGACCTGTCACAGGACAGCAACAAAAGCAACTTGCTCTGGCATCAACTCAACCTGTGGGAAGGCGCAGCTCTGCAGGTCTGTTAGTGGAGGGGTGCCTCACTGAGGTGTCCTGGTTTTGTTTGGGATAGAGTTAGCTTTCCTCTTGGTAGCTGGTATAGTGCTGTTTTGGCATTAGGATGAGAGTAATGTTGATAACACACTGATGTTTTAGTTATTGCTAAGCAGTGTTTACACTAAGGCAAGGACTTTTCAGCTTCTCACATCACCCCACAAGTGTTTAGGCTGGAGGGCACAACAAGCTGGGAGGAGACAGGACAGCTGACCCAAACTGGTGAAAGGAATATTCCATACCATATGATGTCATGCTCAGCATATAAACTAGGGGGAAAGCTGGTTAGGGGCTGCTGCTCAGGAGCTGTCTGGAAATTGGTCAGTGGGTAGTAAGCAATTGCATTGTGCATCACTTGTTTTGTATATTCTAATTCTTCTATAATTTTGGTTGTTGTTCTATTATTTATTATAATTACTAACTACTGCTGCTACTACTAATTCTCACCTCTCCTACCCCCCTTACTTCTCTCCCCTCTTTATGTCCTATTAAACTCATGCTATGAATTTTACTTTTCTTCCCAATGGTCTCCCCCATCTCACTGAAGAACATGTGAGTGAACATGTTTAGCTGCCTGCCAGGTTAAACCGTGACATGTGACATGGGCTGGGGGAGGATGGTGTCCTGGTCTGCAAAATCTGTGTACTAATACAGGATCTGTGTCTCCAAGTAAAAGAGCTGCAGGAGGAGGTCTACAGGCTACATTGCATCACAGACAAGAAAAGAAGTTTGATATTATCTAAGACCTTGTAGCTGCAAGAGCCTGAATTCCACCTGGACAAAGTGAGGGGAAGGCAGAACCCCCGGTATTAGAGACCTCACTTTTTGGTGAGGGCTGCTAGCTTCTGACTTCTGGCATATGATTCCTTCTCTGTTTGCAGAGCTGCAGCTACAGAAAAGGCTCAGTGTTCTGATTGCAGACAAAGGGCTGGGAGGTGTGCCTAGAGCAGAACCTTAAGCTTGCTGAGCCCGAGTCTCAGCAGCACAAGGGGCAATCAATACAGTGAAACAAGAAATTCCATTTAAACATGAGCAAAACCACTTTCGCTGTGGTCACGGTAGTCAAGCAGCAGAACAAGATGCCCTGTTTGTGGAGTCTCTATACCTGGCGATATTTAGAAATGCAGCTGAACATGATCCTGAGCAACCTGCTCTAGCTGACCTTGCTTAGAGCAGGGGTTCATAGCAGATGATCTTCAGAGGCCCCTTCCAACCTCAGCAATTCTGTTTTTCTTTGACATGGTGAGTGGAAGGTCATGAAGACATATCATAACAGGATAAATTACTCAGTGGGGAGTGATAAATTATGAGCTTCTGGTACCCAGACTAGTTCATTAAGAGCCAGTTGAGGTACATGTGACCTGTGTATTGCTGTGCAGGCACATTCATATGCGGAAGCATCTAGTTTCTGAATCCAGATGGAGTTTAAGGAAAGTGTAGCCAGGGCAGTTCTACTATGAACAGATGTGTGTTTCAAGAAACACATTTGAAAATTGAAAAAGAAAGCACTTAGGGCATTTAGGCACCACCTGATTTAGGTGTAAATCAGGCCTTTTTGCATGATACTTTTTTTTTACTTGGGTTTCTGAATTTTCTGTGAATCTGTACTTCAAATACCTAGGTTGGTCATCATTTTCCATCTTCAGACCTACTCATACATAACCAAGAGAGGAATGAAAAAGCTGACATCCACCTCCAAAGAGAAAATGAAAAGAGACTTTTGACTGTCTTTCTGTACATTCCTACCTTTGAGGCCATATCATTGCTGTTGCTCTGTGCCAGCAGCCCTGCATTCTTAATTTGAATGTGTATGTAAAATGGATGACCCTCACCTTCCCACAGCTGTGCAACTATTATAACCTTATAACTTCAAATAATGTTTTACAGCTGGGGCACAGGGCTGAAATAATACATGTGGTTACTTACGTCTTTATATATGGTATCCTTCAGTTCCAGTATGTGTCTGCTGTTCCTCAGTAGGGCAAATATTGACATACAGTATTTTGCATCCCTTTAGCTCTTACACTTCCCTTTTATCCAGACGTAAAAAACTCTTTCCTAACCTATTCTATCTCTACTGCTATGTATGTTGACACCAGTGGACTTGTGAGCGAGTAGGCCTGTCAGCAGTGGATATTTTTTCTCCTTCATTGTCACTGGAATAATGACTTCTCTTGCTTTATATGGCTTTGTGTCCTACAACTCAAGGATCCACTGCAGACCTCAGTGTCTGCCTGCAAGACACCAGTCTGTAATACGCCTAATAAGCCTAAACAAAGGAAATCCCTTGACTTTAAGACAAGAATGCGTCCTGTATTAGTATTCTGCACACTAGAGAGAAAAATTGCTATCCTCCTGTGTTTCTCTGTAAAGTCGGTCATTTCCTATACCTGCATGACCAGATTCCTTTAAACTACAGCAAATAACACAAAACATAATTATTTTACAACAGTAAAATTTTATTTGCTATTTTACATGTTTTCCTTGTTTTTTGTTTTAAAGGAAGAATATAAACCTTCTAGAGCAAAATGTGCTGAGGATGGCTTTCAGCTGCCACGCTCTTACCTAAAGCCAAGTGCTTTGGAAGTGCAGGTATGTTTACATCTGTGTTTTATTTCTGGCCCACCTTTAATAAAGATGCAACAACGATAAAGCAAAACACAGCACAACATGATAATATATGGCACATAATAAAGAACTGCCATAAGTACACAGGGGGCTCAATTTTGCTTTCACTCTATCTCTGCAAAACTCCATTGTTCAATACTAAACCTTTACAATTGTCAGAGTTCCTTGTGGTTCAAAAGGAGACATTTTCCAGAATAATGAGGTCACTGGTTCCCAGTTTGCCATTCCACAACATTCTGTTTATTCCTAGAATCCCTGTTCTTTCAGCAATAGCTGATGCTCTCTATAGCTGTTACTCCTGGGGGAATTGAGATTTTAAACATTCATTAAAAAGTGAATTGCTATTGTTGACAAAATACAGATGGCCAAGCATGAACTACTGACACCTAGGAGTACACTTCAGTGCAGTACATGGCGATGTGGCTATGCGAATGCTCTGGCTGCTTTTACCAAACCAGCATGTCTTTGTTACCAGACTGGCCCTGCTGTATGCTTATATTCCTTTGACTAATTGTGGCACAAGCTGCTAAAGTAATTTCTTTAAAAAATGAACTGAATTTATTTCAGCTTTTGAGAGTGAGAAAAGATACTCTTTTTTCACAGCAAAACTATCAGCAGACAATATGCATACAAGGCTCAGCTCACAAAATAATTACCTGGAGTTCAGAGCTCTGCTTCAGGCTGCTGCAAGCATAGCACTCAATGACTCCCAGAGGCTCCGTCTGAACTGTGGGGTGTGTGCCATAGCCATGTCCCTGATCATCCAGGGGGGACCTGGCTGGGCCGGAAACCGGGCGTGGGGGTGGAGGGTGGAAGGGAGTTAGCATGGAGCCAGGGTGCAGCTGGGGCACGCACACACACGCACACATGCTCCTGTAGGAAGCATGCCTGGATTCCACAGGTTAGACATAGACATAGCTTTAAATCAGCCATGTATTTAGAGTTCATTAAGGTGCAGCCGACAGACTTAGCCTCTAGAGTACAGTTAGATGCTACACAAGCATGTAGCATGCAGCATTACACTTGCATAATGATATGTACTGCACTCTAGGTTAACATGTTGTGGAAAAAGCCAAGGGAATGCTCCAGTAGTTGTCATTTAAAGCTTTGGGATTACTTTGTGATAAACTAAGACTGAGGCAGTAAGATGAAACTGGTTGGGGTGTTTTGCATCTTTTTAAACACTTCTAGAGATAAATACTGGACAGATAGATAGAAAGTGCAGTAGCTACACTGAGCTTTGGCTTATTTGGGGCTGAAGTTTTTTTCTGGTTTTACATTTTCTGTTCATCTCCACCATATTTTAGATTTTTTTCTTATTCTTATATATAAGATTTTTTTCCACCATTCTTCTAATGCTATATTTAAACTCTTCCATTTTTCCTTCAATTTTCTTAAAGTTTTATGGTCCTCTTTTTCCCTCACATGCTTTTTTTGGGTCACCCTTTGATTCATTCCCTTCTTTTCTAAGTGTGGAAAATTACAATTTGCTATTGTTTCTCTCCAAATGGTTGTGGTATTTCCCATGCTATTGTGTGTGCATGCACATGTGTGTTTGTGTGTGTAAAAGAGAAGAGGAGATACTGTGAGGCTGCCAGCAAAAATCAAAATTGGAGGAGACAGGAGAGCAGAGGGAGTAAGAGACTGTCTTATTGAACTTGGAGAGGAATGAGGCCCATCTGGGGCTAAACCAACCATTGGGAAGATTAAGGAAATAAAATAATTATGGAAAGTTAGTGCTGGAATTGTGAATGGGCCTGAGAGACCTGGCTGAGGCTCAGGAACTGGGAGTGGCTGCCTGAGCTGAACCAAATACTCAGTCACTAAAAAAAAGGAACAAATAAGGATAGAGCAGACATACTGAGAAATTGTACTTCTGTATTTTGACTTGACTGTTTTAGCTTTATGAACTAAGAAGATGACTTTTCCTTTTCTAAAGAATGGAATTAGAAAAATTTAAACACAGGTCTATTTGGTGACAATTTAAAAATTATTATGATCAAATAGCCAGAAAAGGGAACGCAGTCCATGACAAATAGCTTCTGAAATCTCTGACTTTTCAAATCAGAGCAAGGCTCTCAGCATCAGCTGTGAAACACAAATAGGGTCAGCACAGTTAAAACAGACATAGCCATGAACTTAAGGTTCCTACTTCTCCCCAGTTTTTCATAAAGAAGACTTCAGTTAATCTTTCTCTAACTGAGTGCATATTGTCTGCTTCTGAAATGCATAATCCCAAAGCTGATATTAAAATGAGCAGGACAGAAGTTTGAGAATTCATTTTTCACATAATCATCCAAGTAACTCTGGTGTACACCACAATAAGATGCATGCTCTATCTTTTACTCTGTGGGCTTTGTGTTGCTATTTCTGTGAACTTTAAAAAGTTCATTGAAAAAATGTTTTTATTGCTTTCTTTTTCAATAAATAAAAGTATCTTACAGCATGCATCTTTCCTTAAAAACACCCACCCAAACGCTTTAGAAATTGTCAAATTTAGTTTCCTAATCCACTTTTTGTAATATCAAATAGATTTATTCGGTAGGATTTGCATTTTTAAATCTTAAATGAGATGTAGCTAGAAGTTTAGAACTCAGCTAGCATAAATTGTCACAGCTATTAACTTACCTCAAATTTTAGCTATATGAGTAATAGAAATAGTCCAGCTTGAAAGGGGCAAAACCTGATTGGCAAGATGAAAATGAGATGATCAGTGCATCTTTCATTATCATCTGTGAGCATTGTGATATCACTTTGAATATATAAACATGCTACACATGCCTTGGTTTTTCATATTTCTTCATAGATATCACTTATTAGCTACTGTTAACAGAATGGGTGGACTTATGGTCTGATGCTGTATAAGCAGCTCTTCTAGTCTTATGGCATATAAAAAGTTTGTAAATACAAGTCTGGTGTCATATAATAAATAATATGAAAATAGGTAGAATGAAACTTTCTTATGAAAGGGAAGAAAGTTTAATGCAGTGGTAAGTGATAATGCAGTGGAATGGAAAATCCCATTCTTGTATTCTGAACTTTGATGAATATGGTCAACACTTTATGATGAAGGGATCTGAGGAAGGATGAGTAGGAATAGGAAAGCAGGGATCTGGGTAGGATTTTTTTTTTTTTCTTCTGCAAAGAAAGAGGAAAAAGGCATAAAAAGAAAAAAGAACACCTATTTTAACCACTGTGCTAACTTTTTTCTAATCACAACTTGCATCACTGATACAGTATCTGAAGGGGGCCTGTAAGGATGCTGGGGAGGGACTCTTCATTAGGGATTGTAGTGATAGGACAAGGGATAATGGGTTCAAACTCAAACAGAAGAAGTTTAGATTGGATATAAAGAGGAAGTTCTTTACTGTGAGGGTGGTGAGGCACTGGAATGGGTTGCCCAAGGAAGTTGTGAATGCTCCATCCCTGGCAGTTTTCCAGGCTGGGCTGGAGAGAGCCTTGGGTGACATGGTTTAGTGTGAGGTGTCCCTGCCCATGGTGTGGGGGGGGTGGAACTAGATGATCTTAAGGTCCTTTCCAACCCTAACTATTCTATGATTCTATGATTCTGTAGTAAATAAAACTGATGTGAGAACACATCTGTATGATATGGCACAACTCATGCTACCAATTTTTGTAGGTTATGCAGTCCTTATGAGAAAGCATACTATTTTTAAATGCTTGGGGGGCCCCACCAGATATTAACTTAAGAATTATTGGTTGTGTGTAGAAATAGGCGGAAGGCATTTCCTGCCGTGAGCGACACTTGGAAGTTCTCCTTTTGCAGTACTGTAAAAAACAACAGCAGAATTTATGCAGCATTCATAGACAGCAGATTTCCCCAAATGCTTCAGAAATGCTACCAAATTAAAGCTGCTCCTCAGTATGGCTTCATATTTTGTTTTTTATTGGCTGCATAACAATAAGTCAAGTGTGAATGTAAAATGAATCTTATAGTTGCTGGTGGAAGTGAGGATATTGTGGGATATGGGAGTGATTCTTTTTATATTTGCTTTCTGTTTTGACAGAGATAATAGAGACTCTCTAACTGATAGCTGCTGGAAAGAAAATCAGGAACTATGGATATTACCTACCTTGTGATCTCAAGCAAGACTTCATGTCTCTCTGACCTGACTGTTGACCAGATGCTATTAAAGCTATATGTTCTCTTTTTCTGAAGTATTCAGTTTTATAAATCTTGTCAAACACTTTTATACTCAGGAGGTGTAATACAAAAATCCCAGGTCATATATTTGGGAAGCACTTTCTCTCTAGCCCTGTATGTTTGCTGAGGATTCCATACCACTGATTGAGAGTCTAGCCTGAGCTTTTACTTACTGCGATACCTTTGATATATGTTGGCCCATAGCCTCTGAAGGGAGTTTGATGCTACGCTATCCTAACAGTCTTTACACTGGGATAGACCCAGAGATGGAAAAATACTGAAGCTTTCTCTGCCTCTGTGCAAGCCAGGCAATAGGAGGTATGACCTGGGTGCCTACTTTTCTTTGTTTCTTTGCTGGCTTACAGCAAAAGGAAGTGAGCAAAGGTTTCGGTGTACAACCATACCGACCAGTTGATACAAATAAGCTAACATGATGATCAGCGTGCTGACTTGCTCAAGGCGGAGAAGATTAATTGCTCATGGAAGGACTCAGGAACACATTTTGAATCCTGCTCCCTTTTCTTAGTTGCCCAAGGGAAAAGGCTGCTATGAGGTGCCTCTAACATAGAGCCATACTAGTGGGACAGGCTTAGCCCTCTGAGTTATTATCCACATTTTGCTTTCAAAGCAGACTGAAAATTGTGCTCCATTCTTGTGAGAGGGTGCTGAGAAGTGCATATATATATGTTTTTATTAGCTACCCCTGAATTAAAGTAAGTAGTATAGACTTCTAAGTGATTTTTCATTATCATCTTAAGACACAGAATCAACTAGGCTCATGAACAGATGGGTACTGTATGTCTTTCTGTCTCCAGAGAAATATATTGGAAAAAAATCTTAAAAATTGACATAATGATGTAGCAATTGCTTGAAGAAACAACAATAAGTCAGTCCTCAATCTCTTTTGCCTTCTATTTGAAGACTGAGGAAAGGAGGAATTGTTCTCCTTTTGTATGTCCAAACACATTTGCGTACATGAGACAAGAAATTTGCCCTCATAACTTTTATTTGATTCTAGCTAATAGGGAAACTTCACCTGGCTTATGTTAATGAGAGTTGTGTACTAGATTTGGCAGAACCCCCATCTATCCCCATTTACAGTACAAAGCTCCTCTAAAGACAGACTCAGTTTTTCACAAAGCCTAAGAAATATACTTTATTAATCTTAAAATATTCTCTGTATACAAGGAATAAGATACTTAGCACATAACCCAAGTTGAGTATATTACTGAGTTTTGGTGTACCATCTAATTCATTTGCACAGGGAAATCAAACCTGCTGTGGTTGCTCTGTACCAATTTGCATCATGCTAAGCAGAGGAAGAAAGTAATTGGTAACATTAGTATTACTTCTAAGGAGTTAGAATTTACTTGACTTTAGGGATTAGCATGGATTTAAATTTGGTTGCTCCTAAAGCTGGAAATAAAAGAACCTTTCTTTTTCAAAGTACAGGGAGAAAAAAATACTTCCTAAGCTCTCTCATAACACTGAAGAAAAAATATTGGTGAGTAAGAAATGCAAATCAACATCTTGTATAGAAGCTGTATTGATTTTAACCAAATGGGGAAAATCTTCTTTTCTTAGAAGGGTAAAAATGGAGTATTACATTTGTGGGAAAGAGGGGGAAGAGGGGATGATTGGCTGACAATAGGCAAATTTAACTTCTGTCTCTGGTTGTGAGTAGGACATAATAACTCTTTTAAGTTATGGAGCAGCTGGAGAATATTTCACTGGAAGCTATTCTCACCAGTGGCTAGAATAGGCTGCATGGGGCCCTTATCTGTCCCAAACCTCAAGACATGATCGAGCCGACTCAAATAAATTGGAGTTTGCCTAAGTACTAACCCCACTGGGAAAACAAAAGATTTCCACAGTTTTGGGGAGCCTTTGTATTGGGACCTTGCAAAGTCTCAAGTAGGACCTACTGTATTATTTGAAAATGTAGCAGGGAATGAAGTCTGATGTGCTGGGTATTTTTTTTAAGAGTTAATGGACTGACATATGTTTATACTTACTACTGATGATCTTTCTTTGGAAAACACATCTAACTTCTGAACTGTAGAAAATTGGCAACCTATAGGACCTAAACTTTGTTGGTTTTAAAAATGGCATTTGGATAAAAATAAAAAAAAAAAATCATCTTACTGGTTATATATGATCACTTTATTATGTTTGATAAGAAGGAAAAGCTGAAGGATTTGACAGTCCCAGAGCCTGGCATGTAAAATGAAATTCCTGAATGTAAATTAGACAGATTAAACTATCTTTTAAAAGACCCTCAATGAAGAAAAGGATATATTTAAAATCCAATAAACTTCAGACCTCCTTCAAATGGCTTAAAATGAGGTCCAGAATGCTTGCTATGCAGGAAATATACTGGTTTTGATTTAACAAAAAAATGTATAGTCTAATTTGAAAAAATCCTGTCACTGTATTCACCTTGCAGAAGTGAATATGAAACCATATGGAGAAGCATATTTCCACAAATATATTCTAATTCAAGATGAATTATCTGTATGTTCTATTTAGTAATCAGACAACAGCAAATTTCTTGAATTTCTCTACAGTTATTGAAGAAAATAATTGCAACTTCTGTATGAAAGTAATGTGCTTTTGATAGACATTCTGAATGGATGTCTTAATATTTTTTAATAAGGTAGGGGTGTCATAAGTAGGGATGAGGTATTTTTATGTTACCAAGTTGCATGTACGATTGGCTATGCTGGCAAAAACCACAAAAGAGCCTTTGTTATACTCTCAGTAGAGCTATTTATATATCGTGACTTACTGTGTCCAAGGACTGCTTCCTGCTTCCGTTAAAAAGTAGACCCTACAAATAAAATAAAAGCCATAAACCCTGACATTACTCAAACCCTGTCTATTGAAACAACAACAAAAAAATCACACATGATTTTGTATTGCCTATATAGAATATGCTCTCTTGAACTTACTTAAATACAGTTCCAGATGAAGCATACTGTGGAAGTGATGCCTTCCATACTGAAAGAAGCAGAAAGGCATTTGACTTGCTTTAAAAATAATGATGGTCCAAGCAATCAATCAGGTGCATCGTCAGAATACAGCTGAAGCTGGGGAGGAATGCAGCAATTCTGGTCATTGTATAGACAGTAAGCTCTCTAGGCAGCAGTGACTCTTTTGCTTTTGGGGAGACCTAATACATGCTTCAGTCTTTGTAAAGTATGAATTCAATAATAGATATTAACAATATCTATCTCTATGCATTTCCTGTCCTTGTTCCCCATGCCCATGGTCAACCACAGCTGCTTAGACAGGTGGTGCAAATTAAAGCAGTCCTTGGCTCCTCTAAAATTGTACAATCACTGTTAGATGCCTGATGCTTGTTCTGTCAGAGCAGTAGGGTCAGACCACTTGTATTTTCCCATAGCTTCTTCAATACTTTTTTGTCCTTGGTATGTGACAGTTTTTCAGTGTGTCCAGCAAGTACCTGGCACAAATGGTCTTGTGCCAGTGAAAGGGGGAAACTGTGTCCCATATGTGGGTGGACTTAGCTTAGTTGAGGCTTAGTTGAAGCTAGGGATTGTCTTTTACTGAGCTTGGAACACAGAAGGAGAAGGCATTGCCCCTCTTTCTGTGTTGCATCTGTAATGCTGTGCCCTTGCCAGGTGGACATGTAGAACCATGGAGGAAGAAGCTATGAAATGTGTCCTCACTTGCAGAGATATGCAAAGGAAGAGCCAGGGCTAGAAAAAAAAACACCCAAAAATCAAACCAAACCAAAGCAGAAAAAACAAACTAACAACCAATAAAACCCCCAAACCTGACCCAAAAGCAAAACCAAAAAGAAATTATCAATTTACATTTTCTTTCTTCTGATTTTGGGAACACACGTAACTTTTTGTAGCCTTATAGTGTTGGGCAATAACCTTACTCTAGAAAGATACGAGAAAATCTTGTCCCTTCATGCAGACTAGAGCTCACTGTAAGAGCAGATAAGAATTCCTAAATAAGACAAATTTTAGAAAATTTCTCAGATGAATTTTCAATATAGTATAAAAATCATTAGTAAGACCCCAACTGACTTTTAATGTAGCTTTTTTATTAGAAGGAAAGAAATTCTACTGTCCTATAGTTCGTATAATCAACCGTAGAATACCACATTGGAAGTTACTTCAAAGATCATCTGATCCAACTTTTCTAGGCAAAGTGTGACCTAGATTAGATGTCCCAGCACCCTTTCCAGCCAAATCTTGAAAATGTCCATTGTTTGGGAGTCCATCACTTCCCTGGAGAGATTATTCCAATGGCTGATTGTTCTCATTGTGAAAAATTTTCCTCTTGTGTCCAATCAGAATCTCCCCAGGAGCAACTTGTACCCATTAGGTGACTCCTTGTAAGTCTTCTTCATAGCCACGGTTTAAATACTGGAACTCCTACAGTTCCCAATCCCCTACCCTATTGGGAAGTTTTAACTAATGTATAACTAATGTATATTTCTCTATATCGCAAAATAAAGAATTTGCTACATCAGCTATCTTTCTGACTGGAGACATTCAAGGCCAGGCTGGATGCAGTCCTGAGCAAACTGATTTAGTTGAAGATGCCCGTGCTCATTGCAAGGGGGTTGGACTAGGCAACCTTTGAAGGTCCCTCCCAACCCAAACTATTCTATGATTCTATAATATGGTTTTGATTTCTCTGTGTATGATCATTCTATAGTGTGCCAGAGGAACTGAATCAGTGTTTCCTTATCAGGAATAACCTTAGCAGGCAACAAGTGTTGGTATGAATGAAATAGAGTGAAAATTGGAACTATTTAACTGCATCTAAACCAACACTTGTGCACATGCAAAGGCATACTTTTCTCTGTCCTCAGGTCACCCTCAAATCTCTCATTTTAAATCTCTTGATAGCATTTCTGAACTAATTTTGGTTTAATTAGCTCTATTTTGTTTTAAAACTAAAACAAATCAGAATTTAGGACAATTTCTAAAGAGCCTTTATTTCTTTATATACATTTCTACACCAAGGAAAACAGACTCCGTTTAGCCTGAACCTTCTGCCATTTACATTGAAATGCCCCACTGATATTTAATGAAAAAAAGGAAAAAATACTGTTGCTTATATTTAAATTATGTGGGGTTAAATGTAAGCTTCTAATACTGCTCCCATGCTTAAATGGTAAAGCATACTTAAACTTTAATTTTCATTACAATGTTTTGTTCACAGATATTTTCAGGAACACCATAACATAAACAGAGACTTACTTCAAGTGAGCAGCAGGGTTTTCACTGGCTCTGGCAAGTTCTAACCAATTAAACTAGATAAACGCTGTGTAACTTTTCTGAGCAGGCTGCTAGGAATAATTCAAGGAGTGCTCTGGAGTGCTCTATATACGTTATAGTATTATTTTTACACTCAGACTTTATAACTAATATGTAGTAAGCTAATTTTTTAATTGGTACAGAAGTAGTTTTTATTCGTGGCTTTATGCATAAATCCTGAAACTCTTGGTTATTTTTTCCTTGTGTCATGGTGAGCTTCCAATAAAGTGAATGGAAGTTCAACTTTAGTAACGATAGAGTAATAAAAACTGGATCCGGATCTCAGGATTTGGCACATGGACACTAGATCTATTAAGTCATCTTGTCCATACTCCTGCCAATGCAGAATTGTTCCCTTCAGCATAATCTCCAGTGCCTTATTCAGTTCAATTTTAAATGACTTGGGTGAAGTGGTTTCCATTACTTCATTTGGTTGAAGTATTACTTATTCCACAGACTAATATAATGCTTTTCAAGCTGCTTCATTCTCATGGATCACTTCCCAATCCCAACATTTTCCCCAGACAAACGAGTATGAGTAAGGGTAAGGAAAATGTGTGTAGAGTATAAAGGCCAAGAGGAAAAAGTGGCATGAACTCCTTCCCCTCACTCCATTTTTTTTTAATGTATTTCTCCTGCTTCATATTTGTGAAGTCTCCCTCTTCACTCTTGCCAGTGAGACTTGGACCAAACTCCTTGAGAAACAGATCCACTGTGAATTTTTCCCTGTTTTCCTGCATGTGAATCATTCCAAAAAGGTTTGTGAGTTGCCCCCCCCCCCCCCCCCCTTCTCTGTTATATTCTATTTTTACTTTCTTATGTATTCTATTTATTTTTAGTAAGGCACTTATTTTACCACTAATTGCTGACTCTTCATTATTCAGTATATGTCACTTAACTCTTAAGGTACTATCCTGATTAGAAGGAATTTTTCATAGAAGATCCACTGAATATATTTTTTGCAGGTGAATATGGGCATATATAATAAAAGTGACATTTTACAAATTATCAGGAATACTAAACCCAATTGTAACAGTAGACAAGATTGATGAAATAATCACTGAGAAAGTGAACAAAGGTTTGTGGGCCCTGTTTTGTAGTATATCACATGTATACAGATAGCCAAGGCTTTAAATCATTGTGCATGCAAAACGAGGTTGAAATATTTCGTGTTGTAACTGAAATTCCATGCTAAGATCTTTATTTCAGTTTTCAGCTATATGCACAATAGATGTTGCAAGAACAAAGACTGAATTCGGCATTTTAATGAGATGTAGAAATTCAACAGCAGGAAATAATCTTCCTGGAAAGAAACCCCTATTTCCGTCCGCTTTTTTTATATACACCCTTTAGTAGCTGATCACTTAAAACAGGTGCTGTAATTCGTGATTGGACATTCAATATTTACAATGGATGGTGTCTGTGTTTAGAGACAACTTTATGTACCAGTGCTTGTAAGGCACTTCCTCTCAGGAATCAAGTGGAAATAAGATCATATAACACTCTGGCAGATTATAGATTCAAATATTACAGATGCTTGAATTGTTCATTGGAATTCAATTACTCAGTTCATTTTTATATATGTAATTATTCAGAAATGAAAATTGATTCCTAAAAATATGTTCTTCATATAGAAGTATTCAATAAAAGAAATAAAAAAAGGATGCCACATGGGTACAAACATGACTGAATCTCATGTACTACCCGTGCTGTCCAACATTCTGGGCTGTGACAGCTGCAGTGGAAACATCTGGAAAAAGTTGCCAGTCAAAAGGGAGAGCATGCCATGTCAAAGTCTGGCCATGCTGGGAAGATAGTCAAACAGGGCTCCGAGGCAGTGGTAAGAAGTGGTGCCTGAGGGCCAAAACCCCTTACTGCCGCTTCATTTGACTAATTCAGGTTATCAAACAGAAATGAACTGCTAACAACTCCCACCCATGTGAGTCTGCTTCATGCAGAATGATTACTGTCAGAGGTTTATATTCACCTTTACTGCTTTACAAACCAATCTTTTTACTGACATATCCATATTTGCCTCCAAAAGAATTAGTGATTTCAGCTGTGTAGAGACAAGGATCCCCATTCACTCAAGATCACATTGTTCCAAGTGCAATTGGACAGAGATTGAATGACATCAGAAGTTTCAAAAGAGATCTATCCATAAGCACTGGCTGGATGGCATACATAACTGTGCCATGGTGTGGTTGCATCCATGGAGCTGTGCAGCCCTCCTCTTTTCTGTTGCATCTAGCATCTGTGTCTGCTCCAATGCTTGCACGTGGGAAAAGTTTATCTGTTTTGAGGAGCTTGTAATGAAGAGAAAAAACAAGCTCTTTTTCAAGGAAATGACACATATGAACTTTGAAAGGCATCCTTGCTTCATGCGGATTTTCTTCCATTGCCTGTGAAGTATATGTGTACCTGGACTGTACCCTGCAGAGGCAGAATTGCAGAGACATGCTTTGATAGCTAGACACATTTTGACTGCTAGGCACAACCTGCTCTTTGTCATGACACTCTTAGTAGGTAACTCCTTTAACTCCTTGCTGGTAGAGATTGTTCAGCAGCTACAATGGAACTGCAGCACCTCCTCTGGCCACAGCAGAGGTAGCTCCAGCTGGCAGGAGTTGGGGAGGAGGGGGTTTCCCCGTCCAGAATATGTAAGTGACCACTCTTGTCTGTCTTTACTCTGGGTAGATATAGCCTATATGAATATTAAAATACCTAGAGGAGAACAAAGAAAAATCTTGGTACAAATGCCCTGTCTGGCATATAAATGAATATTCATGATGAACCATATGGAGAGCTAGATATACTGAGAAAGAGAAAGCCTAGTGCCATACATCTAAGGTTTCTTTAATAGATTGTTTTCACTTGAGTTGATTGTTTAAAACAATCCTTTACATTTTAGTCTGTCAGATTGGTAAATTCATTCATATGCTACTTGCACGGGAGGCAGACAGAACATTCATAACACCAACATTTTTCCAACACATAATATAAATGATCTGCTATTCTAAGGACAAAAAGCAATGACACAAAAATGAGATATCACCCAAGAAAAGAGTTGAGAGGCAAACAGGACCTGGAAAAGAAAGAACATAGGAAAATAAGAAACAATACAGAAGGTTTGTCATATAGGAAACATTACATCCTCCTTCTGAAGAGAGGTATCGTCAAAACCACTATTATCAAAACAAAAGCTTCTTTGACCGTAATTGGTCATAAAGACATTGCATCCTTTCCAGGCTAGCCCAGTGTTAAGCTGACATCTGGATTACTCTTAGGTTTTCATCAAAACTGAGTGAGTCTTGTGAATGGTAACTTTCCTCAGAAAACTTTTCTATACTGCCATTGCCTCCAATCTGCTATTGACCAGGAGTATATGGGAGGAAAGATAGGGGACAGGGCAGCAGGCAGATTTGTCCCCATACAGGTGTACTGTTACCAGAACATGCATTGATTAAGCATGTTCTCAGAGCAAAACTTATATTGAAGTCTTTTAGAAAGTCCCAAGTCATTTAATTTTGCAGAAGATGAGCCCTGAGAGCAGGCTGTAAACCACATTCTTATTCACTACCAAATTACCCAGGGTATTGCCATGACCCAAGCTCATTCCAGACATTAGCTTCATACTTAAATCTCCAGAACAAGAGTCAATCAAGCCAAGGTTTCAGGCATTAAAACCTAGGCTGTAGTTAAATGCTATTATCCTCCGCTGAAGGAACACAGTATGTAGGGCCTTACCTTCCCATGATAGGGCCTTACCTTCCCATGACCTAGCTTGTTAATGGCTGTTGACTGAAAAATTATAGCACAAAAAGAGACACTGGCAGGTTTTCTTTGATAGCTAAAAAAAAATAGATATTTTTTTTTTTATCTTATTGGGCATATAGTGGGCATTGCTTTATTTTGCTAGGTTTTGATGCTTTTTCCTATATGCTTTCTGAGTACAGAAAACATAAACCAGACCCTCTTTCAGGAATGTACTTTAGAAGCCCTTAAGAAAAAAAAAAAAAAAGAAGAACAAAACAAAACAAAACCAAACCGAACAACAACCCCCAAATATTTTCATAACAGGATCTGGAGTACTGTGAGATTCCTCTGCAGAGCTCTGGCTTTAAGCCCACCAAAGAGCCATATACTGCACAGGAGCTGAAGAATATCTTTGCTTTGTACATGGTGGAGTGCCTTCACAAAATCCAGGAGTACTTTTTCAGCAGTCTTTGCCATGATGCACAAACTCCAGATCCAGAGCATAGAAAACACATCAGAAAGTGATAGCAGAAAAAATATACCAAACATTTTAAGTCTCTCTGCAAGCCTCTTGGAGCTGAAGAACCTTAGAGTTCTCCTCACTAAGGGAAAATTAGACCTCTTTGGACCAAAAATACTAGTCATCTTCATGGCAATGTGTTCTCCAGAAGCTGCAGATGTGGACTTTGCAAAGGCTTCTTGAACAAGCAACTTGAGATGATACAGAATTTGACTGACTATTATAAAGTTATGTAGGTGATATAATACGTTTATTTTACTTGCCTGAAAGGAACAAGGTACTTTAGTGAAGCATTTGCTTTCACCAAAGCCCAGCTATGTTGCTGATGGCCCTATACTTTTGGCTTGCAATGGAGGATGCTGTGCTATGGGAAGCAGGTTTAGAGAGCAAACAGGAACCTTTGTTTCCTTTTATTTAGGGAAAAGAAAACAAGACAGAAGGAGGAATGCTGAGCAGCTGCCTGAGAGCTGCTTTGTTTCCGCTTCATTATGACATTATCCCTGGATTGGTTTTTGATAAAGTATTTAATATATTGGAAGAAATCACAGAGCTGTAATTGTAGCAAGCAATTTTATTTAGAATTTTTGCTGTCTGTTGACTTGAGTAGAGATAATGGCATAAATTCTAATAAGCAGATGCTGTGCTCTTTGAAACAAGGCACTGAAATCTGATATAGTACCAGATAGGAATTAACAGTGAATATGATGAGGCAAATGCATGGTTGTCAAACTCCACTTACCACCTATTTCATCATATGGAGAGCAAAGAAATCAAGACAGTACAACATACTGTCAGCAAGAGAATCTGTCTCATTTAACATCATGCTATTGTAGTCAGTTAGGAGAGCAGTTACTCAGTTTGGTGCTCTCCACTGAATATCCAGGATCATTTGAAGTTGGTGGAAATGTGAGTGCTTTGTAGTGTCTGCTTTTTACATTGTAGTGTTTTGCAACCTTAAAAACAGATGTCTGAAATACTTCATTGTGCTTTTCCTCAAATATTATACAGCACTGGTATGTGCACAGCACAAAGGATTATCTCAACAGCGTTGTGTAGGTCTTTGTCTTTAGTTTATGGTCTCTGTGATCTATTGTATGTAAACCTTTTTATGAGACTGGGAAGGGATGGTAGCCTAAGTAAAACTAAACACTGTATGCAAAATTTTTAGGGCTGTGCTGTTCTGTAAATGAACACACTGAAGACTAAAATAGAAATACTTTGGAAATAAACGTTTTCATCAAGTAATTTTGACCCAGAGAAGCATTTTCACTAGACCATAGAAGAAGATGTTGGTTTTGGTGCTGGCAAAAGCAGTACTAATTTTCCCAAGGGACAAAGTATTATCTCCATTCCTCACATTTTGAAATTTCAGTGAGGAAACCTTAGCTATTTTTATCTTGTCGAGTCTCAGTTCCTGCATGACTTTCTTCTGTGAAAATAGTGGAAATTAGTGTCAAGCACCAGTGTGGCTACAATCCAAAG